CAAACGCTATAGCAACGAACGTGCTCAATAATACTCTCTGACTGCAGATCAATTACTCACTGTCTACACACACATTATCCCGTCACGTTGTCACCCTCTCATATATATACCAGACTGCTCTATATCTAGTAATCTCCCGACTATTCCCGAAGGTTCGAGAGGTGGCGTGACACCAGTCACGTGACCTCGTTGACGCAACAGCTCTATTAAATCTTTCAACAATGTGAGGTTCAGCTGCGCTTTCAGTTTTAAATCTGGGAACATTCTGGCCATTAAATAAATTATATTCCTTTATCAGTTTGAATTTTTTCTGTGCTTTCCTCTCTTTAAAAATTTCTTTCAATGCCTTTGTTATTTCTTCTGCTGTTTTTACATTGATTAGAACATCCCAAACATATTTACTAAAAATATATATAATTATTGAAATATAGTTTATGTTATTTTTGTAAGATTTAAATTCTCTCATATCAACCCAAATTGTTTGCAACTGATCGCCAGTATGTGTTACGGAAACTTTTCTTCTTTTAACTTTATGTCTAATTGGGTTGTGTTTTGTATATTCATCTTGATGGTGTAATACATTCTGTTATTTCGTCTTGGGGTAACTGTGTTTTTCTTTTTAATTCTTGTATACCACTAAAATTTCTCTCTGAATCATAATATACTTCTTTAATTTTTTAAAAAAACGGAGACTTTTTTGTACCACAAACTTTTTATATTCCTTTAATCATACGTCTTCCACTCATTGAGGCTGCTTCTTGAATATTCTCTGTTTCAGTTTTACACTTTAAACAGTAAATAATGGACGAAATGCAAAGGCCAGATGTTTTCTTAGTTTTAATAATTGATTATATAAATCCTCTAGCAATTCTTTTCTAAAGTTGAGTCTTGAATAAAATTCAAATCTTCTATCAATTCTTGATCTGAAATATGTCGATCAGCTGTAGCTTTTGATTTGCTATAAGCAATGCCATGTTTCTTACATATTTCATCCACCCTATTAATACCGGAATCACCTGTAGCTAGACACTTTTGAAGTTGAAATCTAAATAAATGTATCTCAAGGGGATGAAATATATCTTGCATCCACCTAATTATATCACCTCCTTTTTTCTCTCATTTATATTCATTTAACATTGCGTGTTTATTGTAATATTTTCTTGGAAAGTTTCAAAAACAAACAATCATCTGATAAAAAATTCAACTATTTTATCTTGTTTCTTTTCAGATTTGCAAAAACCAAAAACATAAAGCTATCAACATCTATCATATCTTCTAAGTTATTAGAAAATAACGTTTCTTTCTTAAATGTTTTATATACTTATATAAATTT